GGTGCTTTGAAGACCATAGACACCAGTAATCTGGCCAGCGAAGTCACGGTTGTCGGTAACACCGCCCATGCCAAAGACATCCTTGAGTGCCTGAACCTTGGAGGTGTCGTTCTGGCGGATAAGAATGCCATCAACAACATCAATCAGAAGTTGCGTGTTCTTCATGCAGTCTGGAGGACCGTATAGCCTAGCTGGCTCAAAGTACTGCCAGTAGTCGTAGATCGCAACAGTTACACCAGAAGAAGAGATTGCGCCCCAGAAAGTCTCTGGGTATACAACTCGCAAGAATGCGGCCTGGGCACCAGCGTATGAACCACCATAAACAACCCATGGGGTGTTCGGCGCAGTCAAATCCGCATCGATGCCCTCGAATTGCACGTTTCGGGCAAAGTAATCAACCTCGGCAAGCGCTTGCTCAGTCGACAAGAACCGCATGTTCGGTGTCGTCAGATCGGAAACCGGGAAAGATTTGCCATAGTAACGGTGCTCGAGAATGACACCGAGACCGTTGGTAGCCTTGATGACCTGGTGGACAATTCCCTTCTGGAGGAAGGTGAGACGACCCTCTCCATCGGTTTCTCCGCCAAGAAGAACAAAGACCGGTCCGCCAGGCTTGTAGTACGTGTCGTCAAACCAGTACCTCAAGTTGAAGGAATCGTTGCTATGAGGCTCGTACCGTGTTTCGTTGTGGAAGAAGTCGACTGGCACAGAGATGTTGTACTCGGGGTATAGCAATGTGGGATCGGTGTCTTCGCGCTTGGTCAGGCTGCGACGCGTCCGTGCAGCTTGCACCTGATATCGTGTCAGCTTCATTTGCTTACCACCAGCTCATCTCCGAGGTATGAGATATTCGTCGCATGTTGATGTTCCATGCCGAAAAGGCCCTATCGGTCTTTTCATACCTCTCATGCATATTGCAGAAGGGCATGAAGCAATTGAATGCAGAGAAAGGCACCGTCCCTACATCAATGCAATAAACAGAAGAAAGGGTGCTTACCTGCTCTTCCCTCTCCACCGCATTTCTGGGCGAAAGCTTGAGCGCAGAAGCAGCCTGGAGGCCGCCTAGGATCGCTGCGACAGCAATTGAGAAACGCATGGTACCGGTAGGACGATGCGTAGTCGCTGGCAACGGCGCACGTCAGGCAGCGCTCGCCTATATATCTGCCCCAACACGAGAGAACAGAGTTATGACGCCGGTGATAGCTACCCGGCCATTCCATTATCATCTATGCGAGGGACAACCATGTTTAGGGAAGGTGGATAAAGTAGTGCGCCCGTGCTAGTGCAAGTACGATGCTCGATCAAGCAGGAGATACGGTGATCGGCAGCTGCTGGGCCGTTGGCAGTGGCGGACAGCAAGCTTTTTTGGCTCGGGTGCTTGGTGGGAGGCCTGGTAGCGCCATGTAGGATGCGACTGACTGCCTTACGTGCGGTAATGCGCGCTCGAAGCTGTGTTGTGTGCTGAGCATGACGCGGTCAAGCCTTGCTAGGATGTATCGTGATGTCGCGAGGTTGGCGAGGCGGCCCCGCCTCGTCACCAGCCGAAGTCTCCTCAGAGGCCAATCGACTGTACTAGAACCCTATTTCCTGCACCATGACAGTGCTTTCGTGCCCGCAATTTGCTTTTGAACCTTGCACATCGTCCATCATGGTTGCCTTTCGTCGTCCGACAGCATCTCGATTATCGCAGGAGATGAGACCAGTCGCACACTGGAAGCCAGAATTCGGCACAGAGGTTGCTCATCAAGTTGGATACATATCATTTCAACGTAACGAATTATCCGACATCACATACACGCTACCCAGCTCAGCGACGCAGCCCTCTTACTTTGTAACCTCCTCGATGTGCGACACAGACCCGTCCTTCTCTCCACGCGCAATACCCTGCTCCTTGACGTCCATCAACGCAGCCTCGCCAACATCAACAGCATCGGCGCCATCGAAGAACTTGGCGATTTCCTCCATGGGCGTGTACCTGGTCTCCACAATGCAGAAGTAGATGACGCCGATCTCAAAAGCGAGGAAGACGCAGTAACAGATGTAGTACTTCCACGCGAGTGCATCGAGCGCGATTCCGTTGACGAACTGGTTGAAGAAGAGAGCTGCTGTAACGCAGAAGTTGAGCCATGTGAATCCCTTGGCGCGAAGACCATATGGCAGGATTTCGGTAGTGTACCCAGCCATGATACCGGACTTGATATCGTAGAAGATACCGTAGAAGAACTGCATATCAAGGTCAGCATAGCGTTCTCGGTCGGCCCAAGGGTAGCAGAGTAGCAGGCAAAACTTACAATACTGACGATGAACCCTTTGCCGAGAGGGGCCCGAGGCTCGATATCGTACCGGGCAGAAATGATGGTGAAGATGTTGAACATCACGAATGTTCCGATCGTAGAGATAAGGTAGATCGGACGTCGACCAAGTTTGTCAACCAAGAAGGCAAAGAGGAAGTTCTCGCAGAGCGCCAAGGTCTTCATGCCGCCATTGATTCCCAGTTGCGTCTGGGGATCCGTGAGACCAACGTTGTCCATGACATACTTTAGGTAATACGAGATCAGACCGTTACCACTCCATTGACTGAAGAAACCAATAGCAGTGATGATAATGATCCTCTTGCGGTTGCCTTTGGTCTTCAGGAAGTCGGACCAGCTGGTTCGGTTGTGCTCCCTGTCGAGGGCAATGGCGGCGCGCACTTCGGCGTATTCGAGTTGAACGAACTCGTCGTCAGCATCTCCTTCGCCGTGCCAGCGGGCGAACATGGCGAGAGCTTCTTCATGGCGGTCTTTGTTGCACAGCCAACGTGGAGACTCGGGCATGAAGAAAATGAAGCCGAGGATGATAAGGGAGCAGATCGACTGCAGAAGAGATGGGAGTCGCCATGACCAGTCGCTCTGTGAAGTGTTAGACGGCTTGTTTGTGAAGAAGGGACAGTAGAATGCACAAGGGTGAGAAGTTAATGTACCTTTAGCTGGAGCGTTCCGTATGTCACCCACGATGCGATGAAGGCTCCAGAGTGGTAGCTCGCACCAGAGAGTGTGACCAAGATAGCACGATCCTGTGGATGAGCAATCTCTGCGATCAGCAACGGCGCGGATCCAAGAACGATGGTGTCTCCGAAACCCAAGATGAGTCTGGCAGCAATGAACATGCCGATGTTCTGCGCTCCAGTCTGGATGGCAACGGCGATCAACATGATAACGCAGCCAATCGCCACACCAATCTTCCTACCCTTCCAATCAATGAGGTAGGGGGTGAAGAAGAGACCGATGAGTGAGCCGAGGGACATGGATGAGTTGAAGAAGCCGAGCATAGCCCCGCGAGGCTCGCCGAAGTAGTCTTGCCAGTAAGTCAGAGACTGAAGACCATTCATCATGGATCCGTCGAAGCCATTGGCAGTATTCGTTAAGATGAGAACGACAATGTAGATGTAGAGTCTGCGGAGGTTGGCTCGCTTCCACCATGCGACTCTTGGATAGGCACGGCCAGCGAAGAAGAAGTGCCCTTTCGGCGGTTTGAGGGGCACAGCGCTCTGCGTGGTCTTGGGTGGACGAAAGGATACCATCTTGAAAGGTAGAAGTTGCTCTTGTGAAGGAAGACAGTGGAGCTGCCGCTGCGAGAAAAAGACATGAGATGCATGGGTCACTATTGCATATATACCCTCGACACCGCGCCACGTACAGTATCTTCGATACATGCCATCCCAGCTACTCAGATCTCACCCATCTTCCCGGGCACGCTTCAATAGCCAAAATTGGGTTCGGGATGAAGCCAAGTAGGGTGAATGCACATATTTGCCTTACCTTGTCCCGCAGTCAAGCACTCATTTCTCGTTTTGTGTTGTTATGCCTCGCGCCACCAAGGCGCTGCGGTCTTGATAGTTCTAGGCATCGTGGAATGAGGCCGAAGTGAACCAGTCTGGAGGCATGCCACTAAGCCCTTAGTCGAATGCGGGGAAACCAACTAGTCGTGCGAGCAACCCCATGGGGTTGTACCGGCTAAAGATGAACCTTATCAGGCCTTTTGAATGAGTTTGGACGTGAGACAGTGAGTATTGCCGCCCTGTATTGCCGGTGTCTTGTTGCCAATGCTCGGAATGTGGGGCTGTTCTCGGTCGCTATACCCAACGCAGTTCGTAGACGGTGTTCTGATTGGATCCTCATCTCGGATCAGATGACAGCCCAGCAAACTCCCAGACACTTCGTGGCTTGCGCGACTACCAGCGCTACCAAGAGCGCGTCTAGACACCACAGCTTCGGGAATTGCCACACCTTACACTCGAGTTTCATCTGTCCCGGGGTCGTTCCTTCCACCTGGGTCCTGGACCCTTTCACTGCGACATGTCGATCACGTTCACGACACATTGGTGAGCCTTCACGCATACGAACTCCCTCGAATATGCTGAACGTATCTCGGCAAACAAACCTTTCTGCCAACGCTTATACATACCACTAGATACCTTCGTAGAAGAATTTCCGCATCCCAAGGCTTGTTACATGCACTCTTGGACGGAAGCGTGACATGTTACCGACAAGAGATGGCGCAGGAGGGCCAAGGATCATTCACGCGACTATCGTGCGCATTTACCCGGCGGGCATAACATCTAACAATACAATACGGAGTCCTTAAGTCCCGCGCAGCAGCCCTGCACAGGGTGTAATTTTCGCGAAGCAACAGCCCGCACCCCTAATTCTGCCCTATAGCCCTCTTATAATTTATTATAGCGTGTTGCTGCTGCTAGAGGGGGTGTAAGATGCCTCTTTTTAGCTGTGCACGTAGAGAATCTTTATCAATACAGACCACAGTAGTCGGGCTTACTTACACCCGTTGGCTACATTCACCTGCGTGGCTTGGCCTATCACCTGGCATCGTTGTGCCAACCGTACGACTACCAGCACGTTATACGCCTTCGCGTGCACTAAGAATAGTCTATGATCCTTCTTCCTGGGTAGATAACTTGGTTCGTATCTTAGAGCATATTCTGGAGTAGCGCCACTACTAACATGGAAGACACTCCGGCAATTAATCCTATTATTGGAGGCTTTGCTCTAGACCCCTCGCTGGTCCTCGTCGATGGCACATACTTCCTCGTCAACTTAACGTTCTATTTGTTCCCTGGTCTGCTAATCTATACATTACAGGATCTTATTTACTGGTACTAGATTGGCAATGCTATTAACCGACATGAGCAGCTGAGCTTCTCTAAATCCTCCACCTTAATCTACGGTCTGGAAAATGAGGACTACCTCTACGCAACAGGCGGTCTCTACGCACTAACTATACGGTTCTACGATGGCACTTTCTACATCGTGTGCACGAACGTGGTGAATGACGGGGAGGAGGGCAAGGAGAGTGAACTGCAGAACTTCATCATCTCCACCACAGACATCCATGCCAGCAAGTGGAGCGACCCCGTCTACTTCGACTTCTACGGCATCGACCCCAGTCTATTCTTCGACCCAAACACCGGGAAGGCGTATCTCTGCGGTTCCAAGTCTCCAGGTCCGGAAACCAGGATCACGCTTTTCGAGATAGACGTCAAGACTGGAAAGAAATTGAGCGAGGAGAAACAACTGTGGCATGGCACCGGTGGCATCTACCCTGAGGGCCCACACATATACTTCCGAGAAGGGTTCTACTACTTGATGATTGCGGAGGGAGGTACGCATGAGGGGCATAGCGTAACCATGGCGCGAAGCAAAAATCTCGAAGGCCCGTGGGAGGCATCGCCCAAGAACCCCATATTGAGCGCTGCAGGAACGGATGAGTATATACAAGCGACTGGTCATTGCGAGGCTTTCGAAGATAAGGAAGGGCAATGGTGGGATGTTTGCCTTGGGATCAGAATGGGCGCGCCCAATCTATACGGGCTCGGACGCGAAACATTCCTTACAAGAGGGACGTGGAGTGAGGACGGGTGGCTCAGTTTCGATCGAGCGAAGATACACATCGAAGGCTTGAGTGTTGTACCGGATCCATCGAGAAGACTTACTGCCGCGCCTGGCGTCGACCTTCTCTACATCCACGACGCCGAGCTGTCGCGCTACAAGATCAGCAATCGGCAGATCACGCTCACCGCTTCTCCAGACGGTCTGAAGTCTGCTAATGCTTCACCGTCGTTCGTTGGTAAACGTCAACGTCGGCTGAAGGGAAGAAGCAGCGTCACCCTTCTACCTCCCGCATCCAGCTCTACACCAACCAATGCAGGACTGGCGGTATACAAAGACGAGCATCGCTTCCTCTCGTTATCATACATGACCTCGAACAATGACTCCTCCCCTACCGTTCGTCTCCACGTCTCGAACAAAGCGAAAAGCATCGATCGCGAAGAAAGCACCGAACTAGACACCGCACCCCAGACTCTGCATCTTACATTAGAGTACACAGAGACCGCATACAAGCTATCCTACCGCACCGACACTGGAGAGCCCAAGGAGTTTGCCCAAGTACCCACAATGGACCTCAGCGACAAAGATTTCGTAGGACCGATTATCGGTATATTCGCGGAGGGGAGTGGGGAGGTCGTATTTCAAGATTTCGTGATAGACAGCGCATCATCGCAGCGGGCCGTTTGAAATGTGGGTGGCGAACCTATAAACCGTGCGTGATGCGCGAACTGCTGATGGGTCTTGATTGTCGGTGAGAACTCCGCGCGAATTGATCTACACATCGTGCATTATCGTGGGCGAGACCCCGCGATCAGCATGGGACGCGGGTAGAGACGAACGACGTGATGAGCGGGGTGTTTACGGTAGGCTTTATTGCATTAGCGAACTATGAAGAAATGTTCACGACTTTTGTTCTCGTCTCTTGCATTTCTGGACTTCATATCATTATATTGTACATGTGCTGCAATGTGGGTTGCCGCTGGACGGTCCCAATCTTCTTGCGCGGCGGATTTGCCAGGTCCTAAATCTTTTCCCTGCAATATTCTCCGACGTGGGTCTGGGCAGCTGCGCAGTAGCTATCACCGACGTCGCGACGGGCGAGTGTGAATGCCGCTAGAGGGCGTGCCGCTGAGTCTTTTAGGAACACGCTTCGTCTTTCGCATGATCGCGCCGGAGACCCAACTGCCTATTTTGATACGGGTATGGCGATGCTGAGTCGACTCCATACTTAGGTTCGGGTAATCTTGAAATCCTTGGATATTTGTATCGCGTCGAAAGGCAGTGGCTCTGGTGCGGTGAGTTTTCGTTCCGAGCTGGCATCGTCGCCTGTGACGGTGATGTTTGTTTGATCCTTGTCGTGCTGCATCTGATTAGTCTTGACTTCTGTATCGCAAGATATTGAATCAGACTTACCAACTCCATCCACTGGGTGTAGTGCCCAGGCCTTGGTTGCTGGTGCGACCCCAGTCCACCAGTGTTCGACCGCTTGATCGCACTGAGGTTGTGGCTTCCTGATTGGCTCTTGTATGTTTTGCGCCACTGGAGATAGAAGGGGCGCAACATGGGAATGTTGATACAAAGACCAGCAAGCATGAGCTCGACGGTGCAAAGCATGAATGTGGTACCCGATGTGCCCGTGAGGTTGTTAATCAGATCTGCAATCTATTAGTCGTGTTTCTCTCCGTCGTCAGATCGAGAGTACTTACCGACGGTGAAGATGAGGACGAAACGCGCAATACTGATAACCACGCAGGCGAGACCCAAACCGAAACAAGCCAATACGGCAAACTTTTCCGTCTTTCGCATTTGCAGCTGCCACACACAATGGATTGGGATGACTACGATCATGAGATCGGTCGCCATGTTTGTCAGAATCAGACACTTGAGCAACAAGATCTGATCCATGCAGTGTCCAACTCGTTGAAGGGTCCATTGTTGGGAGATGGGGTCGCAGAGGAAGATAAAGACGAAGTTGAAGATGACAGCCCATGCGATGACTATGCCGGCAGTGATGTAGACTGCAAGGCGCAGTTGCAGTTGGAAGACGCGGTGGTAGAGGGCTAGTTGAGATAGCTTGAGAGCCGCAAGACACCAGATGTAGATCAAAGTGAAGGAAAAGGTTATCTGCATGACGACCGGGAGGTTGTTCATCACTATTAGGTGGTTAGTTCACCATCTCCACCGGATGTAATAGCCGCCAGAGCAGACTTACGCTTGGGAAATTTGTCAGAGGTAGGATCTAGGTCGTAACCAACGCCAATCGTGAAGACTGATTGGATGTTAATATGAGTTCTGCCCATCCACGAGGTTGATGCATACCGTAGGCATTCAGGCCGATAGTACTTGTCGACAAGAGCAGCGCAACACCGGCGAAGATGTCATCCAGTGCGAGTCCAGGTCCACGCATGCGTCCATAGAATCGAAGGGCAACAGTTGAGGCGAAGAGCAGCCACAGACATGACATCGCTATCATGGAGTCGCGACCGCTCCGGGCCATCGCTATATCGATTGTTTCCACCATCCTGACCTGCGGAGGCAAGACCCCGATCCAAAGCTATCACTCGAAGTCCGGAGAGATGCAAAGTAATGAACGGAGTACTAAAAGAGTGGGTCCTGTCGTGAGAACTGGAGAAAGGGAAAGAACGAAGAGATGAAGTCGGGGCGATGAGTCGGGGCAACAGTGTATTGTTAAAACCTGATCCATGTCTCCCGTCTCCTGTCTTCGTCAAAACTGTTTTGGCTTTCGTAATGATGGCATACCCGTTGGGTTAGCGGGCCTAGCCCGGCGGACCGAAAAGAGTTCCTTGCCTGTCAACGTTCAACAGTGGAGATCGTAAGGATCATTGCCACAAACGTTGGCCGAACACCTGAACTATTCCCTGCGGATGTGCGTTCGCGTTCCCCGGATACGCATGCAGCAATGTTGACCTACGCGAGGTGACGATCGTAATGAAGCGCCATCAATCTCGAGCAATCATGCAGCGTGAATCGTAACGAAGATACTGACTTGAGGCTTGAAAAGAATTGGTAACGTGCCGGCGGAGAGTCGCCGACGGTGAAACAGTCTAGGCCAGGTGTTGACCCACCACGCCAAGGGCCACTGCCGGGCGCCTCATCCGCTTGCCGTTATGACAGGCGGCACGCCGCAACTTTCCGACTCGAGGGTCATTGGCTGCATGAATAAGCAGGGGTAAAGCAGGAGACCTCATGTTCGGCTCCACACGTGTTGTCAGGGTTCATGACTGGCCTGAGTCGTATTCTGCCTGAGGCAGGAGGCCTGGCGACCAAATTCTCGAAAACAGATAGAAGAATGCAGGTTCCCCGATCTTTTCTACAGCCCTATCCCAGGTCCTCGGGTACCTAGACCTAAATGCGCCATCTGTGCGCATACATCGGCGAAGTTGTACCCCTTCTTATCCTCATGGGTCTGATAGTGAAGAATTTTGAGTCCCAAACCAGCTTAACTAAAAGAGACAGTATTCCCGCTGTGGACAGCGCGCATCTCCACTTGAGCGTGTTAACTTCCTTTCCACGTGGCGCTATGATCCTCCAGGGTCTTGGAGCACCAATGGTCGATCGCTGAATGAAAACCTAGTGGAGTCGATACGGGGCATCTTCGGCGCTGCACATGCGATGCTCGTTTTATCGCCAGGTGCGGATGCACTGCAAAACCCAGCGATTGGAAGGAGAAAGGATCGACCCTGTTGAGCTATCAGTCGCCTAGAGACACCACTGCGGTATATACCATTGCCCTCGCTGAAACATCGCCATGCAATCACGTTCTCCCCTTTGTGCAGTTGTGCCTCGCCAAACTGCCAAACCTCCCCAACATGGACGACCATTCGGGCCTTTCCCAGGGCTCCAAGTCAGTTTTCTCACTCGCGATGGTGGCTTGGCTCGTCCTACTCTGGGTCGGCTATAGAATTGCCATTGCATTATACAACATTTCGCCCTTCCATCCACTCGCCAAATTCCCTGGCCCGAAGATCGCAGCTGCCACCTACCTGTACGAAGCGTACCACGACTGGTGGCTCGGAGGACGCTATGGAAAAGTCATCGCCCGCATGCATGAGCAATATGGACCCATCGTACGCATAAACCCAGACGAACTACACTGCTCCGACCCTGCCTTCACGGATGAGATCTATGCCGGTCCTGGACGCCCACGCGACAAGTGGCAGCATCAATTGAACACTGGAGGAGCCGGACCTGTTTCGGTAACTGGATTTTCGACTGTCGACCATGACCTCCACCGTGCCCGCAAGGCTCCATTGAGCAAGTTCTTCTCGCGCCAACAGATGTTGAAGCTCGAAGGCGAAGTGCACGAATTTGCCGTAATGACGGCAGACAAGATGCTCACTTATGCCGGCAAGACCGCTTTCGATGTCAAGGAAGCGTTCAACTGCTATACTGCCGATGTCATCTCTCAGTACGCATTCGGTGAGCCAATGGGCTTTGTTGCACAGGAAGGTTGGGAGCCGAACTTCGCAACCTGGGTCAAGTCGTTCTTCAAGAGTGCCTATATGATGCGTCACAACGCGTTGGGCCGAAAGATGGCTCAGGTCCTGCCATTCATGGCCGATTACCTCGGTGAAGATATCAAGGCTGTCATGCGTGTCATGAACGTAACCATTCCTCAGTACATTAGCCAGGCTTTGAAGAACCCCGAGAATGGGCGTGTTTTCGCTGAGGTCATGGGCAAGAACAAGACCATGTCAGAGGAGGAGAAGTTCCGCTACAACGGTGAGGGCTTCAACTTCTTGCTTGCTGGTACCGAGACTACTGCTGTAAGTACCTGATGAATACCATGGTCAACGAGCCAGAGCTAACAGCAACCGCAGGCTATTCTTACTGTATTCACATACTGGAATCTCGCAAAGCCGGAGATTTACCAGAGACTGATGGCTGATCTCGCTACCGCTGGTATCAACACACAGACTGTGAAGTGGGTTGAGCTGGAGAAGGTGCCTTACTTCTGGGCTGTTCTGCAAGAGTGTTTGCGTATGATGCCCGGCGTGTCTCATCGATCCGCCAGAATCGCGCGCCAGGAGGACCTGCACTATGTATCCGCTGATGGCAAGTCTGACTGGGTGATTCCAAGGGGTACACCTATCGGCATGACATCTATGATCAACCACTGGAACAGGGAGCTTTTCCCCGACCCTGATGAGTTCCTTCCCGAGCGTTGGCTGTTGGAAGATGGATCGCAAAACTATGCGCTCCAGAAGAAGCTCATTGCGTTCGGAAAGGGAAGCCGCAGCTGCATTGGTGAGCAACTGGCGTACTGTGAGCTGTACATTATGGGCGCGTACATGTGCCTCAATGTTCTTCCGAGGGCGAAGCTTGTGGACACCGTGAAGGACGACATTTCGTACGACCACGACTTGATCGTTGCGCAAACGACCAAGGGTTCCATTTCGGTGAAGATCGCGATCGAGTAGGTCGGCCGCTGCGAAGATGAGGATGTTGGAAATAGATAGGAGACTAGAAATAATACCCGTTCAATCGTCACGATATGCGATGGGCCGAGCCGAGCTGACGCGTGATGTGTCCGCGCCGCGCGCGTTAGTGTTGGTAGCACAAGTTGACGCGTGTCGGAAGCTCCGAGCGACTTCCGAAGCTTGGCAAAAAGCGATTCGTGATTCCGCTCCGTCACCAACAGGCTGACTCAGTAGCGCGACACAAAC